TAAAATGGAAATAATAGTACCTGCCTCCTCAGATACTTACAAGAATTAAATTAGATGATGTGAGCTCAGTGCCTAGGCTAGTAGCTGGCTTATGAGAAATGCTTATTAAAGAGTCATTAAGTGTTACTAAGGCAGTAGCCTTCAATCACATGACGTTCTATCAAGTGGAAATGAACAATGTTTCTTCATGGCCCCAGACTGAGATTGAAAAGAGACATCTTTTAAAAAATAGTCAGAGCTACCAAGGACAGATTAGGTTGTCTTTGAGGGTAATGAGTTCCCTGTAACTCAAGCCATTCAAGCAGATACCACTAGGTGAACATGCTGTACACAGACCCCAACCCCCACAGACCTTAGAGTCTGTGAGTTAATTTCAAGGTTTACCCACAGCTATAGGTTGCTGGGTTGTCCTCTCCCAATGTCTCGACTCTCGCGATTCTTTGGATTGCTAGAGGTTTACAGTACCATTTTACATCTACACCAGAGGAACCCACTCACACGTCAGGTGCTGATGGACAGGTGGCCTAATTTTAACAGTCATCACTGGCCACAAGTCCAGGTAGGAGTGACTGTTCTCTTAATGGAACCTGAGCTCATTCCTTTGTGATATTTGTGTCAGAGTTCAGATGAACACATTTTCTGTTTACATAGATTCTCCAGTGTCCCCAGATCCATGTTTTGGTCTTTTTCCAATCCATCCAGATGACAGATGACCTTGATCACTACACCAATACTTAACGAGTTTATTCTAAGAATCTAGGGGATTTGCATGAGGTCTTTGATTTGCCTGGCATGGTCAACTGGTGGCAACATTTGCAGATTCAAGGTGAGAACGTATTTGTGGGAAAGAGACAGCCTGGTAGGAGCGCAGCCCTTGGTAACCGAGGTGGGGATGATGTCCTGGTGTTAGGCTGGTTTTTGTGTGGCATGTACCCCAGTAAGCCAGTGACAGGGGCTAAGAAGCTTATACATACTTATGAACTTGTGGGTAGTGGGGAGGTCTCTGGATGAGATCAAGGTCAGAGGTTATAAGAAACACAGGGTACGTAGCACAAGCTATGTAATGCAGGGAAAAATAAAACTGCCGTTTTATTCCAAGACCAGGGCCAGAAAAATCCCTCAAACATTTCCTTTCTTTTTTTTTTTTTGGTACGTGTCCTTAGAGGGAACCAAACTCGGGTCTCTCTGGTCCACGGGCCAGATCTGGTCAGCGGTTAGAGCATCGGCCCGCTGACCAGAGTCCCGAGTTTGGTTTCCACTAAGGGCATGTACCTTGGTTGCAGTTTGTCCCCAGCCCCGGTTGGGGTCATGTGGGTGGCAACCGGTCGATATGTCTCTCTCACATCGATGTTTCTCCCCCCCCCCCCCCGCTCTATCTGAAGATAAATGCAAAAAATGTCCTTGGGTGAGGATAAAAAAAAAATCTTATTTAATAGGACATTGATGACTTCGCATAAGATCGATGATCACTTATATATGTTTACTTTGGATATTGGTTGGTCACCAATATTCCTCCTACGAATTACCTATCATTGCCTTTGCCAATTATTGCTTTAGCTTATCTTTTGTACATTCATTTTTCTATGTTTTTTTATTGCAGTATGAGTCACATACCATAAACTTCCTCCCTTTAAAGTGTACAATGTAGTGGTTGTAAATATATTCATAAAGTTCGTCGTGTGTGGTCACAAAAGTTTCTGATCAGTTAGCTCAGTGGTCAGCTGATTTCCTTACATGATGGGGCCCCCTGCTGTCCCAGACTTTGCTGACGGCTCTGCAGCTGTGTTGGGGCAGGCCTTCAGCGCACAGGCCCGCGGGGTGCAGACGCCCCCACTTTCGCTTCCTGTGTGGACAGCCTCGAGGTCGCCAGGCAGAGGTGAGCGCTTAGATCTGTCTCTACTCTTCTGGGCGTGCACGCAGCTCCGTATACACGTAGTCTTCCAGGTTCCTGTTTATGTTTACAAAGCTCAGTTCCCATAAAGAAAACCCCTGAGAGTAGGGGTTTGTAGGGAAATGCCAGAGATCAAATAAGAACAACCCTCTGAGAATGTAGTCCTGGGGAGTTCTGCCCCATGCTCCCCACTGCTGGTTTTCACCAAGATTATGGGGCTGTTGGCCCCGGAAAAGCTGGGGAAAGGATGACGGGCCTAGGGCACACGCCGCCCTGTGCAGCTCCTGTTCTTCCCGGGGTTCAGCCATTTCCTTGAATACGTGCTCCTTGGATTGTTACACACCTTCGGTTCACTTCTAGAGTTCTGGGACAGTTTCTTTTGACCATTTTCCCAGGGTTCTCGTTGCTTTTATGAAGGAGAGGGCTTTTATCGGCCTTGGCTTTGCCACTCCCACTGACGGCAGCCTCTGAAGTCATCTCTGCCGTCCCTGGAACATGGCAAGTTCTCGGGAGGAACTGTTCTAACCACTTCTTTGTACTTGATCTCATCCCTCGCCTGTCTTTTCTGGTCTTCTTCTTCCTGGAAGGCTCTTTGTTCCCCTCTTTAGCAGATTATAATTCAAAATGGATCAAAATCAATGAATTTATTGAATTCTACCACTAAGAAAGGAAATGTCCTCATCATGTCCTCCTCAACTACTTAACCCCAGTTCGAGGTTGCTGTGGGTTCTTACTTCACAGTATCGCTTTCCGTCATCCGGAGGCAAGACTCCCCTTCTTCCCCTGAGCTCAGTTACCTTCCGTGGCAGCAGCTGTGCAGACTTTGAAGGAGGTGGACTCGACGGAATTAAGTCCCCCAGAAAGGTGTGGGCAAAATGCTGGAGTTCCTAGGAGAGAGAAATCATTTTCAAATTGGGCATTTCAGGAAAGGCTCTGTGATAGGAGAAGCTTTGAAGAATGGCTTTGAGCAATGTGCTCTTTTATTTTTATTTTTTATTTTTTATCCTCACCGGAGGACATTTTTCCATTTTTTGTTCAGGTAGAGTGGGAGGGAGAGAGAGGAACAGAGAGAGAGAGAGAAACATCGATGTGAAAGGGACACATCGAGTGGTTGCCACCCGCACAACCGACCAGGGCCAGGGACAAACTGCAACCGAGGTACGCGCCCTTAGTGGGAACCGAACCCGGGTCTCTCAGGACCGCAGGTCGACGCTCTAACCGCTGAGCCAAACCTGCCAGGACAGCAATGTGCTCTTTTAAAGATGTGGCAGTCAGCCCAGCCGGTGTGGCTCAGTGGTTGAGCGACGACCCATGCACCAAAAGGTAGCTGGTTTGATTCCCGGTGAGGGCACATGCCCAGGTTGTGGCCCAATCTTCAGTGGGGTCATGCAGGAAGCGGCCGATCGATGTTCTCTCTCATCGATGTTTCTATTGCTCCCTCTCTCTTCCTCTCTTTCTAAAAATCAATAAAGAAAAAGAAAAGATGTGGCAGTTTAAAAAGAATGGGAAAAGAGAGTAGAGGGTGGGGATGGGTGTGAGTGGGAAGGGTGAGAAACAGAAAAAGAGAACTTCTTCCTCAAGTTCACGTAGAGAAGATACATCATTTTCTGACCTGTCGAGATCCCCGAGAGACCATCACATCGTAAGAAGGGGGCAAGAGTTTCTGACTGGCATCCGCTGCAGAGAATAAGATGATGAACACTGACCGGCTCCCTAACACCTTGACAGAAAGCATGTCATGTGCTTGTGAACACATCTGTAAGACAGGCAGGGCTGTGGGCCAGGTGTTTAAGTGACTTACCTGAGTGAGTCATGGCTACTGCAGAGTAAAACTAAGATTCTTCAAGTCCACTTCACACACAGCGGCTTAGCACATGCTTCCACCTCCTTTTCTAACCGGCGCCGCCTCCCACCTCCTCAAGTCCGTTGAGATTCTGTCTCATACAAATTTGTATCTACTTTCACTTTTGCCTTTATAGCTCCGCAAATTTCTAAGTCTACGTGTATTGATGTGATTGCGCTTGTGATCTCCCTCTCTTTCTTCTGATGATTTATCTGTCAGATCCTCACAGCCAGGAGTCGCCGTTGCATGTTGTTAACCAGCACAGGGCCTCACGCTGTGCTCGGCAAACGCTCGTGGTACGTGTAGATTTCTCCCCACAGTGTTCTCACTGGGCACTCACAGTCTCTCTGTCTCTCTCTTTTAATTGCGGTAGCATCGGTTTATAAGATTATATATGTTTCAGTTGTACAACCTTATAATTCAACATCTGTATGCTACAGCACACTCACCACCAAAGGTTTGGTTGCCCTCTGTCACCATACAATTTACCATTTACTGTTTTGCCCTTCCCCCACCCCCTTTCTGTTTGATAACCACCAATCTGCTGTCTGCATCTAGGAGTTTTATTTGTTTGTTTTTTCTTTATTGATTTAGAGAGAGAGGAAGGGAAAAGGAGAGAGAGATAGAAACATGAACTGGCCGCCTCCTGCATGCCCCCCACTGGGGATTTGGTCCACAACCTGGGCACGCGTCCTGACCGGGAATTGAACTGGTGACCTCTTGGTGCATGGGTCGACGCTCAACCACTGAGCCACACCAGCCGGGCTGTTTGTTTGTTTTAATATTCCATGTATGAGTGAAATCATACGGCATTTTCTATCTCCATGTGACTTATTTCATTTACGTAATACTCCAAGTTATATGGTGTGTGTGTATGTGTGTTATATTTCACGTGATTATAAAATAAGGCTTGAGAGTGACCTGGGAAAGGGTGCCCTGCTGAAAAGACAGACACTCTCCTGCCAACATTAAAAAATAAGTAAAAAGCCAGAGGGAAAAATTATACAACCCACCAAATAGCGTCACCTCTCGGCAAACTGGCAAGGGCCCGTGAGCACAGGTTCCCAGGGGAACAACACAGGAAAGCATGTGACTGATTATGAAGTGTGACGAAGGTCCTGGAAATGTGGGGGGCCATGTTTCTGGGAGCTTCCTACCGAGACGATTTAAGGGGAGTCCATGAGGGTGGAGTGCCAAGATTGAACCTGTCCTGTACTTTGTCCTCACTGTTTCTCCAGAGCCCAGAGACCACCCCATTGCCACTGATTACAGTGTATTCCTTCTCTCCATCCACCCAGAGGTTCCTCCTGCTACACGTCCGGCCCACCCAGCACTGTCCTGTGTTCTCAGAGGCACATATTGCCACTGGTTCCAGGCACAGGGCATGCGGACACTCTGGATTTTGACGGCCAATCTTTGCATGGTGTGGTTGGCTTTATCCACGTGAGAATACATGGGGAAGCCAAGTTCCTCCAGAGCCTGGATCTGGGCACTGGTGACATGAAGGATGAGACCGTGCCTTCGATACTCAGGCACGGTGCCTGCCATCCGCAGCTCTCCGGTCTGGTCCATCATGGCCCAGGACACAGGGGTCCCCTCGGGCCCCAGCAGACAGAAGGTGGGGAAGGTCTGGATACAGCGCTCGATGAATCTCTGGCTCCTCTCGTTGCCGCCGAAATGCCAGAATTTATTCACCAGGGCAGCGTGGGTGACATCCAGGGATGAGAGTTTAAACATCTCTTGGTTGCTATGGGGAACAGGGAAAAGAACAGCCCATAATATCATACATATTGTGAAGAATTGTATTTCCCCACCTAGGCAGGTAGCCCCGGGGCATAGTTAAGAGTTTGTGCCCTGCAGGCAGGCTGCCTGGGTTCATCAATTGACTGCTTGTGTAATTTGGGGCTGATTACTTAATCTCTCACTTTCTTTATTTTGTCATCTAATAAATAGAGATGAGAATGACACCTCCCTCCTAGAATCACTGTGAGGCTTGCATGAGCCCATGGATGTCGGTGCTCAGAACCAGTACCTGGCAGATAGTAAGCACCCCGCAAAAATGAGCTGCCATGGTTTTATTTGGCTTTGGCCATGACCCTCCAAGCTAGATAGGACAGGTATTTTTATTCTCATTTTACCTAGAAGGAAGAAGTTTCAAAGCAATTAAACAAGTGCCCCGAAGCACACGCTCACTAGCTGTATGTAGAACCAGAGCTGAGAGTCATGGGCTCTTAGAATGTGGGCGGCAGAGGGCCCTTGGCCACCGTGGGAAAGCTCCGGTCCAGAGAGGGGCAGTGATGTGGAGTGTGGGCGGCCCCCGAGGAACAGAGCACAGAAGTCTGAAGGCTTCGGCTGCGGTGTGAGGGGCTTGAGCCGGTGTCCTGGGACAGGCCCACATGTAGAACTGGAAGATGGAGACTCCAGCCCCAGTTATACCTTGACCTTCACGTGACCTGAACAAGCTCTTTCTTCACCTGACCTGTTTTCTGGCAGGAGAAGGTGGGTAATATCCCTGACCTTGTCCATCTCATGAAATCAAATGCGATGATGGGTTTGAGGGTATCTTTCTGGAGGACTGTGTGATGCAACGTGAATGGAACTTTCCCCTGCACATGAACACACACAGGGCCAGGGGGTAGGGCGTCTCCTGATCAAATCTCTGCCATGAGTTTTTAATTCTCTTCAGTGTTTGGCTCTGCATCAGGGGGAGAAAATATGTAATTTGTTGAAATTCTCCTCATTGGAAATCTTTTGTTCTGTGAAGGAAATTTATTAAACACGTATTTATTAAGCACCTACTATATACCAGACACTATTCTAGCTGTTGAGGCTCCATGATTGAACAAGACAGAGATGGTATCTGCTCAAGGTGGGGGAGGCGGTTGCAATATTGTTGGGGAGAGTTCAAACATCAAATATGTACCCAGGTTAACTAATTCCAAACAATCATCAGTGCTATCAAGAACATAAAAATAGGCCCTGGTCGGTTTAGCTCAGCGGTTGGAACGTCTGCTGCAGTCCAGAGAGACCAGGGTTTGGTTCCTGCTAAGGGCATGTACCTCGGTTGCAGTTTGTCCCTGGCCCTGGTTGGTTGTGCAGGTGGCAGCCACTCGATGTGTCCCTTTCATGTTAATGTTTCTCTCTCTCTCTCTCTCTCTCTCTTCCTCTCACTCTATCTGAACAAAAAATGGAAAAATGTCCTCTGGTGAGGATAAAAAAAAAAAAAAGAACATAAAAATGGGTCATTTGTGGAAAATAAGTGGGAAATGACTTTAGGTGGGTAGTGTAGCCAGGACTCAGTGGTAAGGTGCCATTTGAGAAGTCCTGAATAACAAAAGAAGCCATAAGAGTAAAGAATGGGCAGGGTGGGGGAAAAGACCTTTTAGGCAGAGGGAAGAACTGATTTTAAGGGCCTAAGCTTGCGAAGATCAATTATCGACAGCGGGAGGAAGACCAGTGTCGCTGGGGGAGTAAGCAAGAGAGATGAGGTCTAAGAGGTAGATGGATGCTCTTACAGGGCCATGAAGGAGTTCAGAATTATTTCAAGATGAGATGGAAAGTACTAGAGTCTTTTAAGAGGAGAGGGACATGTTCTAATTTATATTTTTGAAAAGATGATTACTCCGGCTGCTTTGGAGAAAATAGGTTATAAGGAATCCAAGCAGAAGCTGAAAGAGAAATTGGGAGGTATAGTTTGTTGAATGGTGCGTCCCCTCAAAAGATGGTCCCACCTGGATCCGGAAAATGTGGCCTTGTTTTGAAAAGGGTCTTTGCTGACATAAATAAATGAAGGATCTCAACATGAAATCATCCTGGATCTTATCTCTGATGACAATCCTTGTAACAGACAGAAGAGAAGGCACACAGAGGAGAAGGCCACGTGAGTGCAAAATCAGAGACCTGAGTGATGCACCCACAAGCCAAGGAATGCTTAGAGTCACCAGACGCCGGGAGAGGCAAGTAAGGATTCTCTCCCAGAGGTTCTGAAGGGAACACCGGCTTGCTGACACCTTGACTTCAGAGAGTAAATTTCTGTGATGTGAATCCATCCCAGTTTGAGGTGATCGTTTTGTCAGCAGACGGCCACCTGGGCTCCTGCAGTAGGGGGGATGGGATATGAGGAGTGCAGAGCGGCTGCCATCTGACTTACATGGAGCTGTGCGTGCCTCTGCTCGGAGACAGCTTCTCTGCATCCAGCAGGGAAGGGACTAATTTCTTTGCTGTCTGAAAGATCATGTAGAGGAGGCATTGTGTTCGCTTGACCTGGCCCAATTTAACAGCTACAAGATTTTCTATCACCTCATCCAGTTTGGACTGTGAACCTAGATGGAGCAAATAAGGAATAACATGAGATATCACTGTTCCTTCAATGTCGGGAAACACTGCCCCAAGGAGCTGGAAAGTTTGTAGTTTGAGAGTCCTCAAAACCCGTGATCAATCATGACATGGCCTCTATAGTACAATGACTACATCACTCCCATAGTTTTAAATTTAAACATTAAGATAACACTGTAATTCCTGAACACATCACAGTACAGTTATGACTATCAAAAGAGATGAGGTAGAGACGTGATAACCAAAATGTATGGAACAAGTCTATGCTCTCTGTGCAGTACATTGTTGCTACAATGGCCTCAGAGGTTTGTTCTTTCCTCGCTATCTTGAGTTTTCCTCCTGATATGACTCTAGGCTTAACCATGAAACTGGATTTAGCCAATGGAACAACAGTAAATATAGTTTAATAAGAAGCTTGAAAGGGGATGGTGCCCTGAGTCTTACATTCTCTTTCTTCTTTTTTTGTTATTTTTATTTGATTTTTTTTTTTTTTACCTTCTCTTTCTACTTTTGAAAATCCTGTGTCTTCTATACATTGCCCAATCCACTTCTACCAGCACAGTCAATGGCCAGCACAAGCAAATCCAGCATCAACAGCAAGCCCGGGGCTGTGGCTCCTACCAGCCCATCGACACCCCCGGCTGACGGCAGCCGTGGATGAGCTAGGGGAGACTTGCTGAAGAATCACCTAGCTGAGTGCCATCTAAATTGCTGCCCCACAAAACTGTGAGCTAATAAATTATTGCCGTTTGAAGTCACTGTTTCTGGATCATTTGAAAACCAACGGATAAAACCAGACATGGTGAGTGCTAAGCACTTCTCATTTAAGATCATATTTAATTAAACGTCTCTATGTTTTGAATACTATTTTTTTGTTTTAATTCTCACCCAAGGATATTTTTACATTTTTTTCCTTCTTCAGACAGAGTGGGAGGGAGGGAGGAAGAGAGAGAGAGAGAGAGACAGAAAGAGAGAGAGAGAGAGAGAGAGAGAGAGATCGATGTGAGAGAGACACATCGATTGATCGCCACCTGCACGACCCCAACCAAGGCCAGGGATGAACTGCAACCGAGGTACATGCCCTTGGCTGGAATCGAACCCCGGTCTCTCTGGTCCGCAGGCCAACACTCTAACCACTGAGCCAAATCAACCAGGGCTTGAATAGCAGTATAATCCTCATTTTAACCCATAAGGAAACTGATCCACAAAGAGGTTGTTACTTGCCCCAAATCACATAACTAATTACAGGCTTAACAGGATAACAATCTTTGGTAGTTTGACTCCAGAGAGCGTATTTTCTTTTTTTAATAATTTTTTTTTTCTTTACTGATTTTAGAGAGAGATGAAGGGAGAGGGAGAGAGGGATAGAAACATTGATGAGAAAGAACATCAATTGGCCTCCTCCTGCATCACCCCACTGGGGATTTGGCCCACAACCTGGGCATGTGTCCTGACCAGGAATCGAACCACCAACCTCTTGGTGCATGGGTCGACACTCAACCACTGAGCCACACCGGCCGGACCAGAGAGCATATTTTCAACCATTAGATTTCTCCTTTGTAAATATGACAATGAGAAAATAGAGATGAGACAAAGGGCCAGCTCTGCCCCATACCCACAATCCCTAACAGAACATGGGAAATAAATCATGAGTCCTCAGTTAGTAAGAAATTATATCACTCATGATTTCCTTTGCAAACCCCATGCCTTGCAGTCCTCGGGTTCTAGCTCACTGCGAAGGTGGTGGCAGCTGAGGGAAAGACTGGGCAGCAGGCCGAGGATCTGGGGCTTGAAGTAAAGATGGATGGAATGTGGGGGTGTTCTTCAAGACGAAAAGCAACCCGACCGATGTAGACATGGGAGATCCTAGCAATTCGCACACGTCCCAGTCTCCTTACTTTGAATCTGCAAATGTTGTTTCCAGTTGATGACTTCTGGTGAGCCAAGGAATTCCTGACAGTTCTTGGGGTCCTTGGAGTAGATTTGGTAAGTATTGGTGTAGTGATCGAGGTCATCTGTCATCTCCTGTGTGGGTTGGGAAAATTAGAACCAACCAAAAGATTTGTTTTTCGTGACTGCCATACTGGTTGTCAGTGTTCCATTATACTATGCTATTTTTAAATACTAAAATATTAGTGTTTTTTTGTTGTTGTTGTTGTTGTTAGCGTATTGCCTTTTTCTAGGAATTATTTATATTATGAAGTCAAGTCATGGATTTCCTTATTGAATTAATAATAAAAATGTCCTGAACTAAATTATTCTTAACTCTGTTATTGCTTTAACATTTCAAAGAAAGACAACCCATTTGGAATGCAATATATCTTTCAAAAAGCACAGGATTGTCAGACTTTCAGTAAAAGGCCTTTTGTACAAGTTTATGCTCCAGTAGTAAATGTGTTAGCTCCAATGGCTCCAGTAAAAACAAGCAAACAAAGATACTTTGTGTTACCTTCTTATGATTTTTAAAACAAATCAGAATAGGAAAAATGCTCACATTCCACCATGCTATGCAAATTCTTAAGAATAGGCAGATGCAATTGTCAGCTCTTTCTGGACATCAATAATGATTTTCTAGCCCTGGCCGGTTTGGCTCAGCAGTTAGAGCATCTGCCTGCGGTCCAGAGAGACCCGGGTTCGGTTCCCGCTAAGGGCATGTACCTCGGTTGCAGTTTGTCCCCGGCCCTGGATGGTCGTCATGCGGGTGGCAGCCACTCAATGTGTCCCTTTCACGTCGATGTTTCTCTCTCTCTCTCTCTCTCTCTTCCTCTCTCTCCCTCCCACTCTATCTGTGCAAAAAAAAAAAAAAAATGGAAAATGTCCTCGGGTGAGGATAAAAAAAAAAAAATGATTTTCTAAATAAAAAGGCAACATATAAAGAAAGTTATTTTTCTAACCTTTATAAAACTCAAGTAAAGAGTTAAAATGACAAGCAAAATCTTTGACCAAAAGGATAAATCTTACTGTAATCCAAAGATTTTTAGAACATGTGGGCTGTGAACATGTCTTTATCAAAATTTATAGAGGAAACAGAATTAGAATACCCACCTACAAAGAATGAAACCAAAGAAAATTTATAAGATGAATCAGTTCTGAGGATCTAATGTACAGCATGGTGATTACAGTTAGTAATATTGTAAGATATGTACTTGAAAGCTGCTAAGAGAAAACAATCTTAAATATTTTCATCACAAAAGAGAAACAGTAATTAAGTGACATTATAGAGATGTCAGCCACAGCTATGGAGGTAATCATTCGGTAATATATGTGTGTATTAGATCTACACAGTGTGCATTTAAACTTACCCACTCTTATATGTCAATGATCTCCCATAAAACTAGAAAACCTAATTTTTAAGATGTATTTTTGAAAGTAGCTCAAATAATATTTCTCTTTAGGTTTCTATCAATAATTCAAAGTATTTTCAAATTATTTAATTTGGTAACTTTTTTTTTTTTTTTTTTTACCAATTTTATTTCTATACAAGTTACATGCCAGTAGCAATAGGTTTAATATTTTAATATCAATTGAAAGGGTTAATCATGTTTTAACAAAATTAAACTTCATTCCTCCATGTAAACAACCGAGCAGTTTTCTAAAAAACCCTGGGACTGAAACCCAGAGGAAACATAAAGACAAGGGGTTAATGGTGGCCTTGGGAAACTTGGAGGGACCATGAAGAAGGAGATTAATGATGGCCCAGACCTGTGCTGGAGCAGACTCCTCACCTCTGAGACAGCTTGTACCAGCCCCGGCACCAGTTAAGAGGCGCCAAGAGAATATGGGTTTTTTTAAATGGAGTTTTTTGTAGTTTCTGTAGTTTGTGCCTGGATAAGCCAGAGAACAAAGAAAGTTGGTGCTGGGCTCACTCAGCTTGGCCCGCCTGCACCCACGCGCATGCTACAAAGCCATTTCGCTCTACACTGGCCTTGTGTTGTGGATGTGATCTCCCGCCGACTCCCACCTTTGATAATCAATTTAGATTTTTACTTGACTTATTATAATATAATTACACATTTTTAGTTTTGAAATATTTTAACTATTTAATCTCATTAATTTTTTTACATGGCCACAGTATGTAACCAACAACTCCAACCATGTCACTTTGCTCTTTAATTTACCTAATTTGCTGTGTTGTTTTGGGGTTCGTGCCTCCCAGCTGTTACTGTGTTTGCTTTGGATGAAGTCTGGCTCTGACACCCTATAAGAAAATCTTATTGATCTCTAACATGCAGTTTTGATAATTTTCCACTAGGAAGCATCTCTGATCCTTTCACATAAAGTTTGTGGTTTTTTTTTTTATCCTCACCGAGGATGCTTTTCCATTTTTTGTTCAGATAGAGTGGGAGGGAGAGAGAGAGAGAAAGAAACATCGATGTGAAAGGGACACATCAAGTGGTTGCCACCCGCACGACCCAACCAGGACCGGGGACAAACTGCAATCGAGGTACCTGTCCTCATCGGGAACCGAACCAGGGTCTCTCTGGACTGCAGGCCGATGCTCTAACTGCTGAGCCAAACCGGCCAGGGCTATAGTTTTTTTTCTTTAAATCCCTATTTTATTGACTTTATTGATGACAGTTGGTTACAATACCATGCAGCCACCAGTGAGAAGGCAGTGTCACAATGAGAAGTTGTGAGTTAGCACTAATGAGTTGGTGTGGTTTCAAGGTTGATGTTTTTAAAAGGTAGGAAATAATTTTCCCCCATAGGTTAAGAGTTAAAAACGGAACTAGGGTCTGATTGATTACAATGTAGATGTCTACATTTGGGAAATGTTCCTTTTTCTTTTTTCTTTTTACCAAAAGATTAGCTTCTTGCCCTAGCCGGTTTGGCTCAGCGGTTAGAGTGTCAGCCTGCGGTTCAGAGAGACCCGGGTTCGGTTCCCGATGAGGGCACGTACCTCGGTTGCAGTTTGTCCCCAGCCCTGGTTGGGTCATGCGGGTGGCAACCACTTGATGTGTCCCTTTCACATTGATGTTTCTCTCTCTCTCTCTCTCCCTCCCACTCTATCTGAACAAAAAATGGAAAAATATCCTTGAGTGAGGATTAAAAAAAAGATTAGCTTCTTATCTATGCCATCAACATAATCTTAAATTAGCACAACTTCCCTTTGGGTGCCTCTCTTCCCATAAACTAGATGCAAGAAATAACAAAGAGTGTTTGGTCTTTAGCACCACCAGGAAGCTGTTTGGGGTTCTGTCTTGAAAACAAACTAAAATGATGAATGAGTATGAAAATGTATCATATATTGTTTTAATCACCTTTCCATCTGTGTTACTTCTTTTAAAAATTTTTATTTTTCAATGACAGTTGACATTCCATATTATTTTATATTAGTTTCAGGTGCACAGAGCAGAGGTTGGGCCATCATTATCTCATCCATTTTTCTGTTGCTGCATATTTCATACTGTGCTGTAATTTATCTGTGGATTCACTGTATTCTCCTCCAGGCTGTGGACTTTTTTTAGGACAGAGACTTGTTTACCATCCCAGTGATTCATTTCTATATCCCCAGAGTCTCCCACATCATCAGGTACATGATAAACACCTAGCAAATACAAACATAGATGTACATTCATTCCACACCTGGCACCTTACCTGCTCCTGGGGGCGAACAACCACTGTATTAAAATCAGGCCACTTGTCCACCAGGGCCTTTAGCTTGAATGGGTTTCCCTGGTTCATGTGGAAGATGGTCCCATAAACCTGTGCATTCCAAGAAAGTGGGATGGTCAATATACAGGGGTTGGTAAAAGTAGGTTTACAGTTGTTCGTATGGAAAAAGACCTACAGGTTATGATTATTACAATAGCTTTATTAGCTCTGGTTTGTGTACTTACAACTGTAAATCTACGTTTGCCCACTCCTGTATTAGGAAAAGATGGTGAAGTAACTTGTTTGATCAGAACGAGGTTATTTCTGTGAAGTCATGAAATTTTATAATTGAAAAGGATCTAATGAGCATTTCTGCCAACCAATTTTAAGCTCTAGTTTTTGCCCCACTAAATGTATCTTTTAAAAATATATTCATGTCCGGCTGGTGTGGCTCAGTGGTTGAGCATTGACCCATGCACCAAGAGGTCTCTGGTTTGATTCCCGGTCAGGGCACGTGCCCAGGTTGTGGGCCCAATCCCCAGTGGGGGGCATGCAGGAGGTGGTCAATCGATGTTCTCCCTCATCAATGTTTCTATCTCTCTCTCCCTCTCCCTTCCTCTCTCTCTAAATTCAATAAAGAAAAAAATGAAAAAAAAATTTATACCGTAAAATATTCAGACCAATAACATTTATGAATAAAAATCATAAACTCTCCCATTGTGGAATTTAATACAACTTTGATGTAATGTATATCAATTATACCTCAATTTTTTAAAAAGGCAAAAAAATATTTTAATAAATTTCCTTCTATTCATGTACACACACAACAAAGTTTACGAAATGAAAAATTTCAGATACATGTGATTTTGAAATGTTTTTCTCTATTGATTAAATACATTCTAGTCATATTTCCTTTTCAATCAAAAAAAATAACTTTAATATTTTTAATTCTAATTACTGTGGAGCATTCTATGATATGGATACACCAACCTTCATTTTTACAACTTTTTTCATTTATTCACATGAAGTGGCAAGGACAGTACAAGAGGTCCCATACCATACCTCCCTTGCAAAGGGGCAGTGTGAGCTAAATGAGATGTAGCATGAGTCAATTCCACCACAAAATAAATGCTTCGTCAACGCTCGTTCTCTTTCCCACTTCTACCACAGAAGACACACCCTTTGTTTCCCAGAGATTGTCCACTCACCTTTAAGGACTCAGGGAGGCACTTCCTCAAGGATTTTTCTAACATCTGCAGCATCTGTGCACCCTGCAAGTGCAGCATCCTGGCAGGTATGTTAGCCTACGGGGAGGATCAACAAACAGCCAGGAATGAGAAAATGCTGAACCAATAGGAACTAGATCCACACACCTTTACCTGAATCTTCGAGGTAACAGGTAAGATAATTCTGCCCACTTCTACGGCAACTGCCTTGAAAGAGGGAGGAAAGTAGAGTCACTAGATTTCTAGCCTTATTATGAAGGAGGAGCTCCATAAAAGTTCACAGGGCACCACCACCAAGAAACAAGAGTCGCAGGTCCTATGCTAGTGCCCGTGACCTTCAGTGCCCTGTTTTGAAGCCACCCTCACTGAGGTGCTCAGGGAGGCCAAGGAACGAGGAGACTGGCAGAAAACACATGGTTCTCTTTCTGAAAGGTTTCACTTCCCTTTTTTACACCGCCCTGAATTCTGATTAAAGACATGTTTATTTTAATAAGCATAGTCTTTAAATATCCATCTTTCGGGATTAGGTTGCTGTCCGTGACTAACCCAGAGTCAGCATCAACAAGCTCGGTAACCTTTAAAAAGTTACCTACCCTCCTGGTGCCATGGTTTATTCACCGATGCTAATGAAAACAGACTACTTAGAAAGTTAGTGCCTCTTTCCCATTGCAAGATGATGGGTGAAGAAGCTGGGAAGCTGGATGCTAGGAAGAAACATGAAGCCAGGAAGGCTGATGCTGGTGGCAAGGCTGAAAAGGATTACCCCGAGGCCAAGGAGAGGAAGCACCATGGCAGCCGAAACCCTGTCCTGGTCAGAGGAGCTGGCAAGTATTCCTGATCAGCTATGTATTCCTAAACGGCCATGGACGAGCAAGTATTCAACACCCAAATCCAGGATTGAAAAGAAAAAGGGGAAAGTTCTTGTAACCATTGCAAAACCAGTTGGTGGCAACAAGGGTGTGGTACCCGAGTGCTAAGCTTTGCAAAATGCCTAGATACTATCTTACAGATGTTGGGCTTTGGAAGCTGTGGGGCCGAGAAGCCCTCAGTCAGCATCGCTCCTGGGACCATGCTGGCCATGCTCACTAGGCACCACGGAGGCAAGAGGGTGGTTTTCCTGCAGCGGCTGAGCAGTGAGTGGCCTGCTACTTATGACTGGACCTCTGTCCCTTAATTCAGTTCCTCTGCGTGGAGCACTCCAGAGGTTTCTCATTGCCACCTCCACCAACACCGGTATCAGTGGTGTGAAAATCCCCAAACATCTCACTGATGCAAAGCTGCACGAGCCCAGACTCCAGGAGGGTGACATCTTTGACACCCTTCCTTCCTTCCTTCCTTCCTTCCTTCCTTCCTTCCTTCCTTCCTTCCTTCCTTCCTTCCTCCCTCCCTCCCTCCCTCCCTCCCTCCCTCCCTCCCTCCCTCCCTCCCTCCCTTCCTTCCTTCCTTCCTTCCTTCCTTCCTTCCTTCCTTCCTCACTACCTCCTTCCCTCCCTCCTTTCCTTCCTTCCTTCTTCTCTTACATTCTTTTTTTGTTTAAGAAACACATGTCTGCCCTAACAGTGTGTCTCAGTGAATTGAGCATTGTCCCATGGACTGAGAGGTCCGGGTTCAAATCCCGGTCAAGGCACATGCCCAGGTTGTGGGCTCGACCCCCAGTGGGAGGTGTGCAGGAGGCAGCCAATCGATGTTTCTGTCACATCGGTGCTTCTCTCTCTCTAAAAAAAAAAAACATATTTATAAAAGAAACCCATGTCCTTTGGGAATGATCAGCTACAGAGACTTGCAGAGATGGAACAGGTGATGGTTGCTTTCAATGGGGAAATGTTTCTGGTTCCAAAGATCTTATTTACCTTGTGCACCTGCTGTTTGAGCAGGTTTGACATTGCTTGCACAAGTGAATATCCTTGACTTTTCCATGTGCCTGTGTCCTGCCCCACACCCCCAATTCCTTGTCAGTCCTTTGGGAGAAAACAATAGCCATTTTATCCCTACTCAGGCTACCTACTAGTTTTAGTAAAGCCGAGACTTTGCTGGCATCATTATGGCGTTTGTTGCATCTTTTAAAAACAACTTTAATTCTGAGTAATTTTTTTATTGTTGAAAGTACTACAGATGTCCCCCCTTTTTTCTCACAGACCCCCTTCTCCTCGCTCCCACCCTTCTGCTTTCCCCAACGTAAAGTCTGTGTCGACTGGTTGTGCATACATGTATATAAGTTCTTTGGTTTAAATGGGGATAATTAAAACCATATCATATGTACAAGTCTACAGATTTGACACATGTGTAAGCCCATGAAACCACCATCATACTGAAGAGATAGAATATTTCCCTTATCCTCCACAGTTCTGAAACTTGAAGTTGCTATAAAACACTATATGTGAACTTTCAGCATTGGCCGTGGGCACAGTCCACAGAGAAGGCATTTTAGATCCATTCTTCCCCTTGCTAGAAATGTTTTCAAAGGGGACAATTCAAACAAACAAAAAATTGAGTTGTAAAGAGTAGCTTTATAAAGCAACATTATCAAATCGAAAAAAATAAGATATGGTCTCTTTTATCACTGGAATAAGGTTACATAAATAATGTCCTGTTAGTAAACATTGCAACTGCAAGGAGCCATTAACATAAGAACTATGATACACACACGCACACACACATACACATACACATAAGTACACACATGCACAAGGGACAGTACTAAAAGAAAATGCAGAACATAAAACAGTACATAGTTTTTCATTATACTATGTAAATCTGTGCTTATACATATTCAATATGCAATATACATAAGAATTTTAAGCATATAGAAAGATAAATTTAGAAGGGAAAACAAAATATTAAAAACTATTTTTTTTTTTTTTTGGTGGTACGTGCCCCTAGCGCGAACCGAACCCAGGACTCTGGTCCACAGGTCAACGCTCAGCCGCTGAGCCAAACTGGCAAGGGCTTAAAAACTATTTTATAAAAAAAAAAAAAAGAAAAATTCCACAAGCCAGAGGTAACTATTAACTTGAGTAACATATTAACTTGAGAATATACATCCGTCTGTTTTTGTTTTGTTTTAAATGTACTTTTTTTTTTCTTTATTGATTTGAGAGAGAGAGGAAGGTAGAAGGAGAGATAGAAACATCGATGAGAGAGAACTTTGGCCCCCTCCTGCACGCCCCCGACTGGGGATTTGGCCCACAACCTGGGCACATGCCCTGTCCGGGAATCAAACTGGTAACCTCTTGGTTCATGGGTCAATGCTCAACCACTGAGCCACACCAGCCAGGTAGTATCCATTTGTTTTTACACATTATTTTATTTTTTTACAAAATAAGGGCATGTTATATATACAATTTGGTAACTTGTTTTTAAATTTAAAATGACAATTCATATCATAAAATATGTTTAGAACATGAATGTTAATAAGTATGTACATATAGTTAATATATGTTTCATTATTATACATAATATGTATGTTTTTTTATTCCATTGTATGCATATACAATATATATTTTTAACCAATCTCCTATTGTTGGGCATTTAAGTTGTTTACTGTTTTTCACTATTGTCAATAATATTCTGTTGAACATATTCTGTTAATATACATCCATGTTTATTTTCATTTCTTTTGTTAATCCTCACCTGAGGATATTTTTTTCTGATTTTTAGAGAGTGGAAAGGAGGGAGGGAGAGAAAGAGAGACATCAGTGTGATAAAAGACACATCAATTGGTTGCCTCCTGCCGAAACCTGACCAGGGCTGGGGATTGAACTTGCAACCCAGGCCTGGGACACCTTCCATCTGAAGGCTGACACTCTAACCACTGAGCAAACCAGCTAGGGCCATGTTTATTTTCTTAAGATAAAGTTTTTAGAAGTGGAAATGCTGGATAAAAAGAAATGTTTACTTTTAAGTTGTAAACAGTATTCACATTTATTAAGCAAAAATTTTAAAGTTAAAACAACTATTTTATGGTCATAGCATTATACATAAAACTTTTAAAATTAACTTTCCTTTTGACATGATTTAAATGAACAGTAAATCTGGACTGCATTCCAGTCTATATTTTTCTGCATATTTCCTGTCTGATTTCAACAGAGCACTTCACTCTCCTGATTTGCGTTTATCCAAGGAACAAGCTGCCTCCTTTAGAATGTCTCCGAATGGGATAAACAGAATAACGTCTCTATACAACAGGTGCTAAATAAATGTTACTCGGATCAAGCATCTTTTCTTGCCAATGTTATTACCTCTCCATTCACCCACCAGCTTCCCAAATCCCTTCATATCATTTATTTGTTCAGAATGGGTAACTGACTTAGTCCTTCCAAGAAGTTTTTCCACAGTACATCTACTGTCTACATAGCAGATACAGAAACGTTGTTTCTCAGATGGAATACACTCCCTTTCCCACGGCCAAGTATCACTAAATAAGCTCAAGCACTTCCTATCGAAATCCAACAAGGTCATTTGATTTCCCCACCATGGTCATTGTTGTAGGAGAAAAGGGAGAACAGGGTGTGTATGTTACAAAGCAGTGTTTTTCCCCCAGCGAACTGAGTTCTCACCTGGAAAGTTGCTTCCACGAAGACAGATTCCCAGGAACAAATAAGAAGCAGAGACTTTTCCCGAATATAAAATTCCCTTTATCCTGGCATGCACAGCTCAGACCTGCAAAGCGTGTTTTGGTAAATTTTCTACAGAAATTGGTAAGCTGAATGTGGACCTTGCCCTTTTAAAAGCCGGGCATAGGGGGAAAGCTTCTGCTAGCTGGTGCGAAATCCAGAGGCATTGTAGTCCCTCACTCGGTGGCATGTTCAGAGAGCTGGTCTTCAAGTGGGAAGTCTGGTGGTGTCTCAGGGTTGGATCCATCTACTAGTTGTCTTTCTCGTCTAGTCTTTCTGCTTTGGTTTCCTCACCAGGAAGGTGAATACTCCTACCCACTATTACTAGCTTCTGGGTTTGTTTGCTTGTTTTTAAGTTGAATGAGCTAACAGCTGTGAAATGCTAGCAGAAGTCATTGTACTGTAGGTTCCATAAGTAAAAGCTTGTTTCAGCCCCACATTACTGTA